TTATTTTTCTCACAAATTTTTATACATTATAAAACAAGTCCTCAAAGTAATCATCTCTCAATGATTGAAAAAAAAGAAGAAATAATTTAAATTCTAGAAAAATAACAAGAATTAAAAAAGACCAATAGTAAGCATCAACATCTTGTTTTTCTTTAGCCCAAAATTAGGTCGTCTTCTTCCTTGAAAGCATTAAAATCCAACAGTGCAAGCCCAAATACCAGTGGGTTCAGAAGATCGTAGCAGTGGAATCCTCCCTCTTAATGGCGATTTATGATGACTGTAGAGGCTGGAGTTTCCAGCGAGGGGAAGGGCTGAACCTGCGCTCCAGCTGTGTTTTCTTGCGAGGGGAGGGGCGGCCGCCACTCCTCACCCTCACGTGGCTTCACCATTGGTGCCATCCAGTGGCAGATCCAAGAAATAAAATTAGGAGGGTCAGTAAGAATAACGCACAAAGCGTGCAATTTTTTTTATACCAGAAATAGCATGCATATTACCATTTCATGGAGTCTTAGTAGGCTTGAAGTCATTTGGAAAAGCATACTGCACACCTGTTAATGCCTCATTTGTGAGGGTAACTAACATGTTCCAAAGCTGCTCCCATATGAATGCTTAACAAAGAAACACACTTATCTTGAACACACTAACAATGTTTGATATCATTGGATCCTATTAATATGTTTGTCCAATAATGATGATGTTTTATTATTTACTAAGACCACCATTTCATTCACTCTTCTTTCAGATATTTTATCAAACAATTGGAGGGCATGTATGAAGCCAACTTTAATCTTCAAAAGGGCAGCACCGAAGGTATCCATGCGTATTCACCGAAATTCGAAGAATCAGCACTTAAGATATCTATAGACGTTTACTGAAGTTCGAGAGATCAGCTGACCCTCCCTGCCTCTCAATGCATCTGCCACTGGTGCCATCTCACGTAACAGGATAAAGGACAATCTCAATTGAAAGAATTGTGAGTCTTTCGTGGATCAAAGTCAAAGTCCAAAACCATTTATTCAGTAAATAATCAAGGACTTATTTTTTTCTTTTTTTTTCACAAATAATAAAAGAATCCATATATGCTCATTTGTAGGGATATCAACGATTCAGTTTGGGAACGAAAATGCTATATCCATAACCACAAAAATTAACCATATTCATAACCACAAAATAACCATCGAGTATTATCCATAACTATACCCACCAGATAACGGATTCTCCACCGGTTAACAGTTATATCTATCTTCGTCAATACAAAAAATATATTCATTCAATTGACACCTTATAATTTAGTATATATTATTTCGTCATCAAATATTTGATGTATAAAATGTTTCAATGAATGAATCTTATAGAGTATAAAAATTAAAGCTAAACATTGATGATGTTGGCTGATCTTTGATAGTACCATTGAATTCTCATTGGTTTGATTCAAAACTCTTGAATTTTTTCACAAAATGTAGCTTTTGTATTCTCAAAGTAATATATATATATATATATATATATATATATATATTTAATACCATTATATTATATATTATTTGGGTCGAATTGGGGGTCTTATAATCATAACCGAATAATATTCACAATTATTTCCAATATTCAAAATATATCCAAATTTTCTTACTCAAATTCAATCTATTCATATGATTATTCATGGTTATCAAGTTTAACGATTATAATTGTCAATTGTACTTATTTAATTAACAAGAGAGTCATTTAAACAAACCACGAGTGTAAAAAGAAATAATTTTAAACAACTTAGTTACAAAATACTTTTTAATAATCTAAAGATTCAAAATTTCCATTATTTTTTCATGTTTTGATTAATTTTTTCATTGACGATTATTTGGTGGATAAGAGTTTACGTCGACGACGACTTTTCTTTACTTTGGAAACAGTTCACGACTTGCCTTAGGTAGTTATTATGTTGCTATGATACAGTTGGCGGTAGCTAAGCGTGAAACCAACCAAACGAGCATAAGTCCATATTTTTTCTAGAGTAGGATTCTCTCCCTTTTTATTCTCACCCCTCTTTCCTCCCCTCCTCTTACATATTACTGTTTGTCTTATTGTCTTTATAAAAAAAATCAATATAAGATGTTGACGTGGCCGTAACCGTTCAAATAGCAGGGGAGAGAAGAGGAAAGAGAAGGGAGAGAATCCTTCTCCATTTTTTCTGATGTTGATTTGATGTTATTATCCAGCGTAGAACATTGCTTGGCTGTTCCCACAGGTGAGCAATTAAACCAATGAAAGAGATTCAGATATTTTGATGCACTTGAGGTGACAAATGTGCATCCAAGTACCTACAATGTAGATAACCAAGAGATTTCTTTGTGTGAATAAAATTTGAATTCACCCAACACTTGGTTTTCCTACATGTAGAGGGGACTTTCTTGGATGTTCTTAATCGTTAAATTTTTGTTAAACATATCAAATTTAAGATTTATTGGTTAAAACATCTAGAATACTGAGTATTTTGGAGCACTTAAGAATTTTTGCATGTAGACATATATACACCAAGAAGAGATGTCTCTGTTCTTAGTCTATTTATAACTTTAAAGGAAAATTGGGTGTGTGAGAATCTTTAAAGATGTAATTGAGATATTTGTGGTTCATATTCAATACTCTATGGATTTTTATCGCAAACTAAATGATATATCACCAATGAAAATGAGCACGTTTATCAACGCTTAAGTAATAAACTAATCATCAACTTCCACGTCTTTTAATTTTTAAAATTTAGTCTCCCTAACATTCTCTAGGAACTTAAAATGCTCGTCTAAACGAAACACTAATTCGTCCAGAGTCTGCATGTTAATAAGTAGAACTTTGATTTGTTTACGAAAAGGGGTTTCATGAATCGACTAGCCTTCATGCAAGCGCTCACGCACGTCTAGAAGATATTTTTTGAATCACGGCGTGTTACGCTCGACTTACATGTTTTAAATGTATTTATATGTGTAAATTGATAAAAGGAAAATCAAATATTTGAAGTAAATGAATCATCTTAGATCATGATAGAAGAAACCCCTCATAAACCAATTAAAGTAGCTGAATACACATAATAAAATTGGTCTCTATAAAATTTAAGTTAACAATAGAGAAAATAATATTTAATAAATAATTGATTCAATCGCATTATTGCTAGCCCATTGTGAAGCTAAGCCCACCCTTCCCCCTTAGTGTAGATAATATCGTTTGTTAAAAAAAAAAAAACAATCATTTGACAACTAATTTAATCACATTATTATCTGCGTGCGAAAGACCTTTATTAACTGACATTACATGCCTCTTAAGATGTTTTGAACGTATTTAAAATAGAGAAAATAATATTTAATAAACAACTGATTGAATCACATTATTGCTAGCCCATTGTGAGGCTAAGCTCACCCATCCTCCCCCTTAGTGTATATAATATCGTTTGTAAAAAAAAAATCATTTGACAACTAATTTAATCACATTATTATTCGTGTGCAAAAAACCTTTTCTATAACTGTCATTACACGTCTCTTAAGATGTTTTGAACATGTTTTAAAATAGAGAAATTGAATCACATTATTGTTAACCTATTGTGAGGTACTAATTAAAAAAAACACAAAAAACTAATTAAAATGACAAAGGCATTTTTTGAATCACGGCGTGCTACACGCGACTTACATATTTTAAATGTATTTATATACGTAAATTGACAAAAAGAAAGTCAAATATTTGAAGTAAATGAATAATCTTATATCATGCAAGAAGAAACCTCTCATAAACCAATTAAAGCAGTTGAATTTACATAATAAAATCAGTCTCTATAAAATTTACATTAACAACAGAGAAAATAATATTTAATAAACAATTGATTGAATCATATTATTGCTAGCCCATTGTGAGGCTAAGCCCACCCCTCCCTCTTAGTGTAGATAATATCGTTTGTTAAAAAAAAAAGGGTAAAAGACTGTTTACCACCCTCATGTTTCGTGGTTTTCAACATTTAGTACATCAAGTTTTTTTCGTCCCAGAGTCATACCTAACGTGTAGATTTTGGAACAGTTTCATACATCTGTTAGTCAAACTGTTAGTTCTCCCGTTAAGTGATGACGTGGCGCTCTGATTGGACGCCACGTGTCATTAAAAAAATAAAATATATATTTAAATAAAAATATTAAAATATTAAAATAATAATAAAATATTTTTTTTCTTCTTCTCTTAATAATAAAATATTAAGAAGAAGAAGAAAAAAAAGAAGAAGAGGAGAAGAAGGAAAAAAAATATATTTTATTATTATTTTAATATTATTTTTATTTAAATAAATTTTTTATTTTTTAATGACACGTGGCGTCCAATCAGGGTGCCACGTCATCACTTAACGGGAGAACTAACAGTTTGACTAACAGATGTATGAGACTGTCCCAAAATTTACACTTTAGGTATGACTCTGGGACGAAAAAAACTTGATGTACTAAATGTTGAAAACCACGAAACATGAGGGTGGTAAACAGTATTTTACCCAAAAAAAAAACTATCATTTGACAACTAATTTAATCACATTATTATCCGCGTGCGAAATACTTTTTTTTTATAATCGGCATTACACGCCTCTTAAGATGTTTTGAACGTGTTTAAAAATAGAGAAGATAATATTTAATAAACAACTGATTGAATCACATTATTGCTAGCCTATTGTGAGGCTATGTCCACCCCTCTCCCTTAGTGTAGATAATATTGTTTGTTAAAAATAAAAACAATCATTTGACAACAAATATAATCACATTATTATCCGCGTGCGAAATATTTTTTTTATAACCGGCATTACATGCCTCTTAAGATGTTTTGGACGTGTTTAAAAATAGAGAAATTGAATCACATTATTACTAGCATATTGTGATGTACTAATTTGAAAAAAAACACAAAAAAATTAATTATTAAAAAAATACTTTTAAAATGACGAAAGTGCCTCTGCCTTATTGAGGCATTATTTTGAAATGCTTTTGAAGTTTTTTGTCTTAGAGGTATTTTTGTCCAAATATTTGTGTTAAAGTTTAGTGACACTAAAATCACTATTCACCTTTTTCATTGGCTTTATATATAGATAACATCTTCATCTGCATGAAACAACTAGCTGTTTGCTGCAGAGAATGCTACCAAACTTCGGTTTCTGCCACTCGAATCTGCTCTCTCTCTACTTGATCCACATTGTAAACTGAAAGCCTCCCAAACTTAGCCATTCAGGCATCGTTGCTGTAAGCTTCCATGTAGCTAAACTCTCTCTCTCTCTCTCTCTCTCTCTCTCTCTCTCTCTTTCACACACACACACACACGCACAATTTCTTTTTATTGTCAAGCTAGCAGGGAATACTGAATTACTGATCATCACGGTGTATCATAAACTCGATTCAGTAGTTATGGCTAGAAGAGAAGCTTTAGATGTGGAGAACCAGGAAAGGTTAGCACTTCTTTACATTAAGACAGCAATTTTTTGTCTGTAATTTTTTCAGATACAACTTTGTATCAAACACTGGGACTTATATATCTGTACTGGCTTTGGCTGGCCAAATACTTCATCCATTGTATGGCTGTAACTTGTGATTATGATCCAAAGAAAGTTAAGGTTTCATCATAAAATCAATTGTTTATATAGGGAGTAGTCTAACTTACTCATAAGTTCATGCAAGGTCTCTCCTCTCATTAATATAGGGTTCATTCTCAACATGCTCCTTCACATGTGGCGAATTTTCAAGTCTAACACGTGACAACACAATGGGGTGATGCATAGCGCATGTGGCCATTTCGCTTCACATGTGACAACACGCCCCCTTACGCTTTCAAATGCCGAGCATTTAGTTTTCTTCATTTCATTTGTCTGCCTGTTTTTTCTCATGAACACACATATGCATATCCTTCTACATCGCACAGCCCTTATGCATGCTTCACACTAAAGAATGCTCATAGTAGCTTACATACAATCCACTAGTTTATGTATACCTCATAAACTCTATCTCCGAACAGCACTTTGCTGGATCTTTTTATGTTTCTTCATGATTTTGATCGGTGCAATTTGTTTTTTTTTTTTTGTGTCGTTTCAAGATCTGTTATAGGACAGTGCATCAACGATTACAATGGCATTAGATGCCCTAATAAAGGGGATGCAGGATGGACAGTGGAAATTACATCCCAAGCGGAGTATGATATTTGTTATGCTATGTGTGTTTGCCATCTCAATAGATCCTTTGTTCTTTTACATTTTAATCATTGATCAAGATTACAAGTGCCTTCAAATGGACAAAAAGCTGAGAACTACTGTTCTTGTGTTGCGATCACTCACGGATATCATTTTCGCCGTGCCTTTTATATATAAAATTTACGTTGGTGTTCAAGCTCAAATGCACAAAAATTCGGGGACTAATGAGGCTGCAAATACCATGACAAATTTGTATCGGGAATCAAAAAGGGAAGAGTTGATTGAAGTTGGCAAGAAAATTGATCAGAAGATGTCGTGGTTATATTTCTCCATCATAAATGATTTTCTCGCTCTTCTTCCTGTCCCACAAGTAAGTGAAACTTAACTCTAATTTTTGTGTGCAGCTATTCTTAACCAGTTAGTTGTAATTAGTGGATTTCTAACTCCTTTTTATTTCTCCTCTTTAGCTGCTAATAGTAGTTACTTTTTACCATATGAGAGGCGCTGAATATGTGGAGCATAGAACGATCATGAATGTCTTCATTGTTGGTCAATATCTACCAAGGATATATCGAATTCACCGGTCCTCTGAGGAACTTCGAAAGAATGCTGGAATTTGGGTTAAAGGTCTATTATATTTTTTTCTCTACATGGTTGCCAGTCACGTAAGTTTCACTCCTATTGTCATTTCATTATAGTATTATGTAAAGAAAACTAATAAAAAATATAATATTATGTAAAGAAAACTAATAAAAAGATATTCGAAATGAATTGACTGGAACTTTAATAAAAATGGCAAAAGTTAAAAAAAAAAGGAGTTGATATTAGTTAAAATACAAATAAAACAATGAGAGCATTCTTCAGGCATATTAGTTAAAAGACATCACCGAAAAAGATGGAGATTATGATATTGGATTAATATCTGGCGCTGATTTTGCCTTTGCCTTTGCAAATTGTTGCTGCTTTGCTCTTTTGCTAGCTCTTTAGCTTGTGTTCCTCCAAATTTATTCTGTACAGAGGTGAGAATAAATTTACTAAAAGACAGGTACATAACTCAAAAAATTATCAAATGGGTTAAAGAGGCATAAAAATATAAGTTTATAAGCTCAGCATCTCTCTTCCGTTTTCCTTCCTTTAAAAAAGCGAAACCCATTCCCTTCGGCCTCAAATTTATTTATTTATTTTTATTTACAGATACCCACATCCGAATCAAAACGAGGATTCTTTTCGGGATTCATATTTACGAATCTGGAATGCATATTTCTTCTGTTTGTTAATTTAAAAAAAAATACAATTATGTAAATTATTTATATAGAAGTGGTGTACAATTTTTAAAAATAGTGTCACTGATTGTAGAAATAATGTCTATTTAGAAATAATGTCTATTGTTTCTTGAAATAGTGTCATTGTTTAGGATAGGGCTGGGTTCAGTTCCATTCGGTTCGTTTTTTGCCAATACCGAAAATCGAGCCGAAGTGACTATTTAGTCCTGTTCGGTTTGTTTTTTTGTCCCTTTTTTGGTTCGGTTTTTTCCGGTTCAGTTCAGTTCGGTTCAGATTTTTTTTAAATAATACAAATAATGCCGAATACAATGAAAATTGAAGAAACTGGAAGAAAAAAAAACAAATCTTTAATGAAAATATAACACTCAAATCCATTCAAATCTAACAGAATTTTTAAAATAAAAAAAAAAACCAAATTCCATATCAATAAAATTGCAGACCCAAGTCACTCGTATCTATCAAAATTAAGCCATATCCAAGAATAAAATCGACATTAATTATATACAATTTGCTCCATACTTAGTCGAATCTTCCATATCAAAGCTCAGTGACCGAGGAGAACAAGTCAATCAGAACAGTTGCGGTGAAAGGTGGCTAGATTTGGTGCATGTCAACATAGGCAAGCGAGAACCACCTTGTTGTCGACGATGGCGGAAGCCATGGCTGACTTCGACGGAGGTATAAGTTGGACAGTGGGATAAAGAGAGATGCAGTAGGGGAGAAAAAAAAGAAGGGGAATGAAATGGGTGGGAGGGAGATGAGAGAACAAAAGAAGAAAAAAGCAAGAGAGAAATGGGAGAGAGGAAGGTGGCGGTATGAGAGGGAAAAAACAAAGAAAAAAATGGAGAGAAGGAACACAGCTGGGGAGAAGAAAATAAGGAATAATTAGTATGCTAGGGTTTCTAACTTTCTAATAGGAGGCCTAACATTCTATTTGGACTTAAGGTTTGGGCTTGGAATTAGTCTGGAAATATATACCCCATTATATATAATAATTAAAATTTTATATAAAACTAATATATATTTATTCGGTTTGATTCGGTTTTTGAACCCCAAAAATCGAAACCGAATCAAACCATTTCAGTTTGGTTTCAATTCGATTTTTTTTTTCGGTTGCGGTTCGATTTTTAGTCCCTTTTTTTTCACTTTTTTTTTTTCAACCCACCCCTAGTTTAGGATATAGCCAGGGTTTAGCATTTAAGATTTCTCAAAATAGTGTCACCGTCTATCAAGGCTGTCTTTGAGATTTCAAGAGCCCGTGTGAAATTTATAAAGAGGGTCTTCTTAAGATAGTCCTCCCAAATTTCTTTTACAAAATGCTTGAAAGCAATAACAAAAAGTGAAACAAATTATAAAACTCATGCTAATTATCAGTTTCCAAATATAATTACATAATAAGTAAAGATAGCTACAAAAATAACTATTACTAAATATACAATCAGTTCAATCTTAAGAAACCAAATGAACAAAACTTTCAAAAAGTACATTGAAATTTCACTTAGAGATGATTCTTCATGTTCTTTGCTGAAAAATCATCAATTAAATTGTGGTGGTGGGGGACTAAAATATTATTAAATTGCTAAAAAAATCTTAAATGATATAAACCATATATCATAATCGATATAACTATTTTTTGTAAAAGATTTTATGTAAACCAATTATCTTCTTCCTGATATGCTCTCTTAAAATATAAGCATTTTTTTTAACAAACTATATTATCTATATTAAAGGGAAGGGGTGGGCTTAGCCTCACAATGAGCTAGTAATAATGTGATTCAAACTCGCATTTGGTGAGAAACAAACCTAGGACCTCTCACTTACAAGTGAAAAGGAATATCACTAAACCATACCATATTATAGGTTGATCAATGCAATAGATATAATTTGGAGGCCTTTTTAAGGCAAGGGGCTCTGTGCGACCGCATATTTTGCTCCCCTCAAAGTCGGCATTCTAGAAATGGTGATCATTGTTTCTAAAAATAACAATATTGTTTAGAAGTAGTGACTATTACTAGAAATGGTGACCACCGCTATTAGAAATAGTATCACTCTTTGTATAAATAGTGACCATTGTTTCTAGAAATTTATTGTTAAAAAAAAACAATATTTCTTCTTAATAAAACCTTATTAAGTGTTTTTATTAAAAATATTTTGATAATAATTTTGATGAATTTTTGCATGTGATTAATAATTCATATTATTATGTTTAAAAAAATCATGACTAATTTTAAACTTTATACATAACAAAAATAAAATAAAAAATGAGAGGAGGAAGAAGTGCTATGAGAGAGAAGATGGAGAAAATGATGGTGATAATAAGTGAAAGATAAGAGAGTAGAGAGATGATGATGGAGATGGGTGAAAGGAAAAAGAGATGATGGAGATGGGTGAAAGGAAAAAGAGATGATGGAGATGATGGTGATAGGTGAAAAGTGAAGGGAATAGCGAAGGAGAGTAAGAGAGAGAAAGCAAGGGATGAGCGGGACCCACGCGTCTATAGTTTTAGGTTTCTTTTGTTCTTATTATATTAAAATTTTATTTTATTTCGTTAAAGTTTAAACTATTTTTATTAAAGAAAACTAATAAAAAATATTTGAAAATTTTGAATTTTAACGATAAAAACAAAATCAAAGGTAAAATGAATAGTACTAAGATTGAATTTTTAGTGTAAAAATATGATTTTTCATTAAAATGAACAATATCACGGGTTTTTCGTTAAAACTCAATTTTTATTAAGTAAAGTTATTAAATTATTTTTTGTTAAGAAAAAGTTTAGAGAACTCCTTTTTACTAAAGCTTCCTTTTATGCATTCACTAATGCCAGACGAAGCTTTCTTTTAGAAACGTTTGACTAACATTCAATTTTGTTTGCCCGTTTCGGATTATATGTACCCTCAAATTTACGTTCATAATCAATTACTACCAGGCAGCTTTTTGTTTGTTTGATTTAGTTAACGTAAAAACTCACAGCTTTGCGCTACACAATTTTTACTTAATGCATTACACATTCCTTAATTGATAAATCGTTTGCTTACGAATTTGTTATTTTTGTAGATACTTGGAGCTTTATGGTATTTCTTTTCTATTCAACAAGAGACATTATGCTGGCACAATGCCTGTGCAAAACATAGTCCAGATCCTATTGGATGTATGAATACTTTCTACTGTGGACGTCGAACTACTACTTCGAGAAATATAACGCTTCTTAATGAGTATTGCCCGTTAGATACTCCAGATGGTGCCTTACCACCATTTAATTTCGGAATATTTCTCGATTCCCTTAAGAACCATAACTTAGAGAATATAAAGTTCGAAAAGAAGTTCTTTTACTCTTTCTGGTGGGGCTTGCGAAATCTAAGGTTCACAATATATCTATTGACAATCAACAATTTTTAGAAAATATGTAAGGAATAGAATTTTTAGGATTATCTAATTCGGCAACATCGTCTAATATTTTGCAGTAATTTTGGGACGAATCTGACAACAAGTACATATGTGATGGAAAACTTGTTTGCGATTCTCATTTCTGCCTTGGGCTTGCTACTATTTCTATATCTCATTGGAAACGTGCAGGTTGGTATATTGAATCTCTCTGTACTTTAACCTTCAACAATTTTCTCGTGTTTGGGAGTTGGGAATTGGGACTCTGGAGATCATTCTTCGAGTATATTAGGTAACCGTTTGATTTGTGGCGAGACAGACTTTTATACAGATGGAAGCTACAAAAAAAGAGGAGATGAGAGGCGGAAAGATATATGAGAAGAGGCAATGGGTACGCATCCAGGTAGACATCTGGATGCAGGAACATAAATTCCCTGATGATATCAAGAACGAAATCAGGAATAGCATAGAGCAAGCATTGAAAAGTAACAAAGATGTTGATGTCAACAACCCATTCCTTATTCTTTATCCGAAAACCAAAATATCTATAAAACGCTTTCTTTTCATGGATACACTTAGAACAGTATGTTCTTCAAAGCTCAATCTCTCTGCATTTATTAATTGCATACATTTTCACTGCAATGTTGTTCTGATGATATATCTGTGCGTGCGCATATGTGCATAGGTAAATATACTTAAAGACACAAATCAAAGAGTGTTGGAGTTGATGTGCGACTATCTGAAGCCAGTGACATACAGTTTTAACAGTTTCGTTTTTCGAATTGGAGATCCACTCGACTGCATGCTGTTCATTATCGAAGGGACAATGTGGACCTACACGTCGAGTGATAGTCATGCTGGGCAAGGAATCTCATCAATGGCCATCAAGCCCCTCAGGAAAGGTGACTTTTACGGGGAAGAGCTTCTCGATTGGGCATCAGACAGTTTCACCGAACTTCCAGTCTCCAGCAAATATGTCAAAAGTCAGACAAAAGTAGAAGCATTTGTACTCATGGCCAAGGACTTGGAAACCGTAGTCTCCAGATGCAAAAACTATTGGGGCTTGTACAATCCCGAAGAGGTGGCACTTTCAACTGTTCGTCGTATCCGTAGAAGGGCAACAACGTCCGCGCCCGTCCCCGGCTGAAATATGGAATGACATTGGTGAGATCTTGCCATCCACAGCAAGCAATTAGTATCTTCATAAACGTCGTAGTCGAGATGCTCTATTTATGCCCAAGAGTTCTATACACAACCCTAGCTGAGTACATTCTGTATAAGCTCTGGCCTTAAAACAATACTATTATTGGTTGATAATTAGCCCGTACGTTTCAATAATTCAGCAGTGGTAGCCACAATCTCATTTCTCTTAGGGATATGTTTATGTTGGTCATGTTCTGAAACATTTGCAGTTATGAGGTTTAAGTTATTAGGCATAGAAAGCTCTAAACCTTATATATCGTGCTGCTTTATGTTATATATGGTAATTCACTATTTCGATGCCGATACGGTAGTTCACTGTTCAAGGCAGTTTTTGAGTTTTTAATGGCCTAGGGCGATAAACAAATGGGGCTATTTTCTACACTTTATTTTCACAAGAAAATAAAATGCAAAATTTTTTTCCATATATCCCGTTCTCTGCGCTTAAAACATATTAATTTGACCACAATAAATATAAAAGAATCTTCTTCTAGTATTTATAGTGTCAAAATCTTGAGGCACACATTTTTAAAATCAAGCTTTTACCTCTTTTATCCATTGGTTTCTTAAACTTATTTGAGGTATGTTACTAGTTTTTCATTAAGATTGTTTTGATCCTCTTCGAGTGGGTCGAGTTATTAACTTTCTCATTGCACAAGATTGTCAATCTATTTAACTTTTCACGTGTCTAATCGACTTAAAGTAACTTTTAACTACTTTAGTCGAATCACCTATTTCTTAGCTCTTTAGAAGAACATACTAGAAGAGAGATTGAGAAGGAGAGAATTGAAAGAAAGAAAAAGGAGGAATATTGTTTGCACAATAGTTTTGGTCAAGAGATATAATTAACCTTTTTTCATTCTGTCAATATATTGTTCATTTGAGCTCCTCTACCATACTAGAGTTGTATTTTTTAACGCTGATATTAAATATAGGGGTGTGCTATCCACACACCCCATTTTACTTCTCACACACCTCTTGATAATTTCTGTCCGTTGATCTTCTTCAATTCATCCGATCCGACGGCTGAAAATTAAAAAGGTGTGTGAGAAGTAAAATGAGATGTGTGGATATCACACCCCTAAATATATACCATTTTTTGTTCATATATGTATTTACCAATATATAAAAAAACATGGGGCCCCTTTGATGCGGGCCCTAACCAGTCGACCTTCCCACCTTTACTCAAGAATGGCCATGTCACTGTTCAAGAGTTGAGGTTTTTTTTTTCCGGTCAAATTCAAGAGGTGAGGTTTGACTTAGTCAAAATGGGTCATGAGATTGTTACCTTTGTTCTTTTGCATTCCATTCACCTGATCAAGACAAGAAGTGCCTTGGAATGGACAAAACGGTGAAGACTGCAACTCTTCTTTTGCGACTCCTCACGGATCTCATTTTTGTAGTGCATATTATTCATCAAATTCGCTTGTCAGGCCATTAAATCTGTCAACTCACAGGAAATGGCAGTAGCCGGGAAGTTGTCGTGGCGCTCGATCATTACTGACATTCTTGCTGTTCTTCCAGTCCCACAAGTAAGGCAATTAGAATTAAAGTTTAATCAATTTTTGGATGTTGTTATTGGAACTCCAGAAAAATGGTTATGCACTCTTCCAAGTTATTTCTCTCTTATATTTACATGTTTAAAGTGTAGAGTAACTTTTTGGAAGCAGTAATAACAACTTCCTAATGTCTTTTGTAAAATATATGAGTAGCTATAGGTTTAACTAGCTCTGTTTGTTTGTTTTGCCCAGGTGCTTTTAGTAGGTGTTTTCTTCAAGATGATCGGTCCTGGATATTTGGAAAATAGAAAGGCTTCGTTCTTGTTGCCTAATTTCTTCCAAGGATTTACCGAGTTCACCTCTCCTCTTTTACAACCTTCCACAAACTGGAATATGGGCCAAAGGAGCATTCAATTTTTTCTTTTACATCCTTGCAAGTCATGTAAGTTTTTTTTCCATTGTCAATTTATTTTAGTCATTAAATTTCTTTGCTTCGCTTACTCCTAAACCTAACTTACTCCTACCCAGCACCCTACTCACCCTTACCATTCGACTAACTCGAGTGGTAATTAACTTTAGTCTTTAGTTTGACTTAAACATTTGTAATACAGTGAAAGAAGACAGTAGCAGTGAAGGAATAAATGGCTTTGTGAATCATGAATTGAATTAAGTTAACCATAAGTGAGTGTACGTGTTGAATATATAGCTTTACATCAATCAATCAGTTACAAGATAGACTTATCTCAGATAACAAATTTACAAAATTAAATACATGTGATAATAGTGAAAATAAGATTAAACCAAAGAGTATCTGTTGAAGAGTTGTAGAAGAATGCAAACTGTTGCTCAGCATATTCGAACTGTTTGGAAGCAGAGTTGGGCGGGATGGTTTTCAAAAGTCTGTGGCTTATCAAGATTTCCTTTTCTTTTACATTTATGGCCAAATACAAGGTGCCATGTGCCATGGATCTTAAAGTGGGGATATGAAGTCAGTGACGGATCCGGTCATATTACATGTTAATTTTAATGGGTCAAGTTCGAGTCTGATCATATTATCCGTTCATTTTAACGAGTTTGATATGACACAACCTATTAAGATATCGTGTATGTCACGAAAACTACACGAACAAAGCAAACACGACACGATTGCAAGGTCTAAGGCATTCGCCTAGGCAGTTATAGCATCCTTTCTTAATTAAAACATAAAAAAATGAAAGAAAAAAAATGAGAATGATGTCATCAAAATAAAAAAATGAAATTGGATATGGATAGCACCACCTAAAAATAATTGAAATTCCGATCTCCTTTGGTTTAATATTATGGCTGCAAGTGTGAGAAATGCCTTACACTTCGACGCTATGTGTATTGGTTGTCCTAGGGGTTCTATTATTTAAGCTTTTTTTCTTCTAAGGAAAAAAAAATAAATAAAAAGCTCTTGGTTTGAAGGAATTTCCATGTCCGCGTGTGAGAAGAGGGAGGGAAAAGAACCGGAGGATAACCATGGCACTGAATTCAAAATGATGCAGACAGTCGTGGGCAGTGGTGAAGGGGTGATAAAATTAAGACAAATTACGTGGCATAATTGAGAGCCAACAGATGAATTTTATTGGCTAGGATTAAAAGCCTTGTATAGTGTTGCAGGGGAAAAAAACATGCAGAGGATCCAAATTCAGAAAATAATTAGTCTTGTGAGTTCCACACATGCGTGCCGCATGTGTCGTTTTTATGGTCGAAAAGGGGAATATATTAAAAAGGGTAAAATCCAGCCGAGAACAACAAAGAAGGCTAAAAAGCACCAGCCCCAGGAAGGGACCACAAACAAAGCAAGAAGAAAGACCAAACTTTGATCAAAAAGGGTTAGATGTCCGAAAAGGGATTTTAACAGGACATAATCAAAGGTCTTTCGAGGATCCTTTCCTCCTAATCTACTAAATCAGAGAATTCGTGCCATTGAAATTTGATCCAAATGTTACAATTAGGGGTTCACTCTAAAAGTTATAATAACTTCAACTGTTGGATTATATTTCAATAACACGGATTTCCTAATTTGATGAATTAGGAGGAAAAAATCTGGAGATGATCCATTTCTATAGTAAAATACATTTGTTTCATTTTCCATGTTGGTGGGTCATCCTGAATCGCTCAATAATTAATCAATAATGCTTGCACAGTGCATCTATACTATTTTGTTCTAGGACGTGATAAAACTGAAAGTTGACAGTTGAACAATGTTTCACAACAAATTCCCTGATGATATCAAGAACGATATCAGGAATAGCATAGAGAAAGCATTGAAAAAATACCCAGATGCTGAAGTCCACAACCCATTACTTATCCTTTCTTGGCAAAGCAAAAGATCTATAAAACGCTTTCTTTTCATGGATACACTTAAAAAAGTATGTTATTCAAAACTCGATTTCTCTCCATCTATTAATGCCATCCATTTTCACTGCAATGTTTTTCTGATGATATATGTCTGCGCGCTCATGTGTTAGTATAGGTAAATATGCTTAAGGACAGGGATGAAAAAGTGTTGACGTTGATATGCGACTATCTGAAGCCAGTGACGTGCAGTGAGAACACCTTCGTTTTTCGAATGGGAGATCCACTCGATTGCATGTTGTTCATTATCAAAGGAACAATGTGGGCCTACGCGTCATCGAGTGATGGTCATGCTGGGCAAGGAATCTCATCAATGTCCATCAAGCCCCTCGGGAAAGGTAACTTTTACGGGGAAGAACTTCTCGATTGGGCATCAAACTGTTTCACCAAAGTTCCAGTCTCCCGCAAACATGTTAAAACTGTTAAAGTCCCTCATTAGTGGTGTGAAAGAAAATCAAGGGGTTTAAATATGATTACCTCACTTTAACTAATACCGAGATATTTTGTGGTAAAATCTCACCCTTGACGGATTAGGCAAGTGGTAAAGTTAGAAATAATATCGGTGTCGTTAGAGTGAGAATGAGCTTGGTGATTTGAAAATCCAACAAAAACTCGGACAAAAGTAGAAGCATTTGTGTCCCAGGACTTGGAAACTGTAGTCTCCCGATGCAAACCATGTTGGGAATGTAACAATCCTGAAGAGGTGGCACTTGCTACCATCCGTCGTTTCCGTATCAAGCCACACCAACGCCTGCCCCTCTCCCCGGCTGGAATAGCGGATGTCAATGGTGGGAGCTTGCCATCGACAGCAGGCAATTAGTATATTCAGAAACGTCAAAGTCGAGACGCTCAAATCATGGGCCAAGAGTTCCATACACAACTCTAGCTGAGTACATATTGTATAGCTCTGGCCGCGAATCAATATTGTTGATATTTAGCCAGGGTAGCGTTTCTATGTTTATATATTGATCATGTGCAATCTAAACCTTATATAGATAGAGTGCTTGATGTTAGATATGTTCTGGGAAGCAAACAACAACAAGACAGTAGCACAAGTGGTTCAAGTAATTAAGTCAACTGCAAGTGTTTTATTGATAGTTTTTGAATAAAAATAACATATCGTACAAGCTCAACAATCCAATAATATTGGGCATTTTTCGGTTCCACATCTCGTTGGAATTGTTTCGGCATGTTAATAAATCTAAGAGTTGTTGACAGTTTTGCTTCTGTGGTTATGACTAGCGAAATTAACTTATACCATTGTTTCTGCCATTAATTTTGTTCTTAGCTTATACAACCAAGTGCCTTCGCCCATGAGCAGTAGGTCTCGGGTTCGAGACTTGGGAGCAGCCTCTCCATAAAATGGGGGTAAGGCTAGCCGACATTCACCTCTCCCAGACCCTGCGTAAAGCGGGAGCCTTGTGCACTGGGTACAACCTTAGCTTATACAACCAAGTACCAAGATCAACTCTATCCCACAAAGTCAGGGATAGATTAGAAGCTGA